TTCACCTGAAAGCTTTAAAGAACCTTACGTGGCCCAATGAAAGGGGAAGTGTGGCTGGAGAGTGCAGAAAGCGAGTCCCCCTAGCACTGCTCTATATATATTATGTTTTGCTGTTACTTCAAACTAAACGCTTATTGTTGATATGTTGAATACATTATATACACTATGTCCTACCAACATAAGGTTGAATAGTAACTTGCACAAAAATAATAGTGGTAGTGGAAGGTACTTTAATTAACCACTAGTCAAGGTGTCATCTTGTTCGCACTTCATTTTCAGTAAAAAATTAAAGTGAAGTCCTCAATTCATCAACACATTAGTTAAACTTTAATACTATAATTACAATATTTTGACAAGTTTATATGATATTAAATGAATATATTGTAATATTAGATTAATAGATATGCATAATATTATAAATAAACTCTTCAAAAAACACTAAATATATCATAATATATTATATTATAAATTTACAATATCACATAATATCATAATTAATTTTAGCATTTCCTAGTTAAATACTAAAACAATAACGTGTGAAACAAACATATTAATACGTTGCAAGTTTTTCGAGTAGCCGCATTACAACACATTGCCTGCAAATTAGCGCGGTTCAAGTTGGGTGATCCTTGGAGGCTAGATAGGTCATTTTTCTTCGAATTTTCTCCCCTTTCAATTTGAATAAAATTAAATTGACCCTTCATCTTAACCAAATTAACATGTGACAGTGTTACATGGATAATTTTTTATATTATTTTTTATATAATTTTTACATGTCATTAAATAAATTGATATATTTAATGTCATAAATTTTATATAAATTAAAAAATTAATTATTTAAATGATATATCAAATCATACAAAAAAATTATATAAAAAAATTATTTCAAAATTATTTACCGTTAACATGTAGCTTAAGACAAACCCAAAAACTAAATGTAAAAAGACAATTAATGTACCTTAAATAAACTTTAAGTCATTTAATGCAAGCGATTCACTTTTAGGTAGAGATTTAAATATGATTTACGTTATCCACAAAGCTACAACTGCAACACCCATATTGTTTTATGAAAAAGGTGTAAGGCAAGTTTTTATAAAAAAAAAAAAAAAGTGTAAAGCAAGTCGTTATTTTAAAATTTCTTTTTTGAGAATTTATTGAAAATTTTATTTTTCAATTAATATTTGTAAAAATTAATAGTTAGAGTAAAAGTTTTATTCATATAGATTATTTATGTTAATTTTTATGTTAATTTTATATTTATAATTTTTTGATTAGAAAAAGCTCTATAAATTAACATATAATAATGATATTAAATTTTTCATAATCAATGAAATAATTAAATATATTAAAACAATTCAAAAATTAATATACATAATGTCTATGGAACCGACAATAAAATTGTTATCTTTTTTCTTTTTTAATATATATGATTATAAGTTAAACAATAGAAAATGGTTCATCGGTTCACCCATTTTCCCAAATCTCTTCTGATTCAATTTAATGTTCAAATCTAAAATTTTTAATTTAATATCTCGTATTCTTAATTAGTTAAGTTACCTAATAAGAATCAAAATTATTATCTCTTTGCAAAAGCATTTTATCTTTTTGACAGTTAGAGCAGTCCGAATCGGGACTGAAATAGGCCCAACATGCATGTGTCGTGGCTTGTGGGCCGATCCGGATCTGGAACATAGCCAACACAAAAGCCACGGGTCCAAACCAAACCAAACCAACCCAAACTATCAACCGACCACCGACATGCCAACAGTACTACCTACGTAATCGTTTTTCATCTTCACCGAAAAGTCAAATTTAATAAATATATTCAGACTCTCAAAGTTAGAACCCTCAACTTGCAATGTAGAAAACGCGTAATTGATGTAACCAAGAACCTTCAAAACATTAATTTTCTAGTTTCTTCTAGTTTTATATATATCTAAAACCCTCTCTCAATCTCCATCTCGCAATCATTTTGCATTAGGATTCATTTCTTCAATCTCCCTTCTATTTCTTCTCATTTCTCATAGAATAATATCGAAGGAAAGAAATCAGATAAGCTTCGATTCGACGATCATTGATGGGATTAGTACATAAGATTTATGGAGTCATCCTTGTGATTGTATGCGCAATGTTCATGTCTCAGGCTTCATGTGCTAGGCTACTGGGTGGCACTTTCGAGCCGGGGGTGGAACCGGGAATGTTGAGCCTTGCTCTGCCTCAACGTACCTTCCGCGCTCCAGTGGCAGTCCCGGAGAAGAAGAGTGAACTCCAGTATGGACCTCTGCTGCTCAATCTTCTTCCTAAGGGGAAGGTGCCGCCCTCTGGTCCTAGTAAACGGATCAACAATTCGGTCAATTGAGTAGATTTATGCATCCATTCATTTTTTGTATTCCACTCATTTATTCGTTTTATTCATTAGTTGTTTTATAGGATGAATTACTGCAAAGAATTTAAGAGTAGTATCCTCTGTAATTTCTGGAGATTTTAGTAGCTACTGGAATGTTTTTAGCCTAGTAGCAGCATCTTGACAATGTAATTATCATTATTTTTATTACATAGAGAACTCTACGTTGAGTTTTAATTCATCAATATAAATAAATATTTTCTTGTGTATGTAATATTCAAATCACGGAGTTAAAAGTTAAAAAAAAAATAAAAAATTGAATGTGTCGTACCAATGTAAAAGATTCCTTCAGTGAAGATTTCGTTTTTAATTAAGGTAAGAGGATGCCAATTTAAATAAATCTTGAGTTTGAATTTTAAGATCGAGGGGAAAGAACACGAAAAAACTTACTTTTAATCCCTCATCTTATCAAGTTTAAAGGTATTAATCATTTACTTTATATTATAACATTTTTAACCCTTCACCTTACTTAAATCTGTAAGTTTTAACCTCTTACTTTATATTATGATACTTTTAGCCCATCACCTATTAAAATTGAAGAAAATAGTTCTTCCTTTGTAATATTTTGTTAGTTCTGTTAGTTGACTGTTAACTCTGTTAATTAACTATTAGTTGACTGTTAATTGTCAAAAACCTTCTTTCAGCTAACGGAGTTAACAGAACTAATTTTATAATATTTTGTTAATTCTGATAATTGACTATTAGTTAACTGTTAGTTGATAAAAATTTATTTTTAACTAATAGAGTCAACAGTTAGTATAAAGTGAGGGCTATTTTCTTCGAGTTTAATAGGTGATAAGCTAAAACCTACAAATCTAATAAGAAGAAGGGCTAAAAGTGCCATGGTATAAAGTAAAAGGTTAAAATTTTCAAACTTAATAAGGAATTAAAAGTAGGTTTTTGCCGGAAAAAACTAAAAAAAAGAAAAAAATTATTTTTTATTATATAATTTATTATTTAATATAAAAAGATACATTTACCCATTAATATAATAATATCATGCTATCTTATAAGGAAATTTTTTAAGTGCACTGTAAGTATAATATTTAGGGAAAATTAATTGTCTATCTGCCTTATATCTTAAAAACTAGGTGTAAAATCATTATGAAAATTACGTTATTTTAATAAATTTTAATTAAAAACACTAAAATATCTTATTTTTAAAAAATAAATTAGAAAATTTTTTTTTATCTTTTCTCGCAATATTTTATTCACGTTGCTTAATTTTTTTGGTGATTTTCTTCTTAAAAGTAAGGGTAAATAAGCACTAACCTCTAATATTTATATATAATATTACATATAATTTTATTATTAACTTTTTTAATTAAAAAGGTTGTTTGTGATATTATATGAATTCCTTCCACTACGTAAAAAAAAAAAAAAGCTATTGCTCAATACATTTTGCACTAAAAAATACTCAAAATGTGTTAAAAAATGCTTATTTTCCAACGTTGTGCTCTAGAAAAAGTTGATGAAAAAAAAACCATGACAAATAATTATTTTTCAAAGTAAAAAAATGCACTAGAAAAACTTACTAATATTTTTTTAGCACTGAGTGCTAGGAAATAATGGGTAATGACAAATCCACAATGTATTTTAGGTTATCGTTACTACTTATTTTCAAGCACTTAGTGTTTGAAAATAGTTGATATTTTACAAGTATATCACTTATTTTCAAGTGCTCAACTTTGAAAAATAATTGATACTAACAAGCATTCCTACTACTTTCTAGTGATGAGTGTTGAAAAATGGTTGATACCTTAGAGGAATAGCTATTATTTTCCAGCGTTATATCCAGAAAATTTTTTTAAAAAAATTTCATTTGTACATTACTATAATTATATACTATTAGCAAATATTTACAAATACAAAATAATATTTAATATGAATAAAATTAATCATAAAATAATATTATATATATTAATCAAGATTATACAAAAATTTATATATAAAAAAATCTAAAACACACTAGATAAACATATAACACATATAATAATTAAAATTAATTACACATATAATTATATTTAATATATTTACTTTATAAACACAATCATATATAAAACATTACATGATACATGTAATTTAATAAATATTACCAAATAAATGAAATTAAATATATAAATATACCTCAATTCTATGTAATTTATAAAAACACTTGAAATATATAAAGAAAATTTTAATTAGTAACATATATGAGAGTTTATTGATAAAGAAAAATATGAAGAAAATTGAAAATTAAACTGTCAATAAATTGAAATGAATAGTACCTCTTATTTCAAGTAACATATTAAAGGAAGAGGAAGAGGAAAAAGAAGAAGAATGGAGAAAACAAGAGAAAGCAAAGAAGGAAAGTAGATGAAATGGAAAAGGAAAAGGAAGAGGAAATGGAGAAAAGAGGAAAGTGAAATATATGAGTAGAGTAAAGGAAGAGAGGAGAAAAAAGAAAGTCAATTCGGATAAGGGATGAGAAAAATGAAAGAGAAGAAAAATGAAGATGGGAGGAACTGCTGAGGGAGGGAATCTTATATAGATAAATATTATTTTCCATGGCTTAGCGTTGAAAAATAATGTGGACGAGATTTTGAAAATTTTATAAGGAAAAATGGTATTTGAATATTGAACTCCAAACTTCAGATAAAATTAATTTTTAGCGTTAATAATATAGGTGAGATTTTGAATTTTTAGAAAGAAAAGATACTTAAATTTTGGTTCCTAAGTTTCTCAATAAATTTATTTTCCAACATTAAGCACTAGAAAATAACTTGAACAATTAGACATGAGTATTTTCTAACAACAAGCACTAAAAATAACTTGAACCAATTGGACATGAGTATTTTCTAGTACCAAGCACTAGAAAATAATTTTGTCTAAGTTATGCAGGTTATTTTCTAGCACTTAACACTAAAAAATAACCTACACTCCATTTCTACCATTTAACTTTTATGGTTTTCAACATTTTCTAGCATTGTGTGCTAGAAAAAAAAATAGTGAAAAATATATTTTTTGTTTTTGGAAATTTTTTCTATTACTAATAACACATAAAGTATTATTTTCTAGTGCAAAGTGCTAAAAAATAAGAAAGCGTCAAACTAAATTATAGTATTAAATTATTTTTCAACACTTAGTGTTGAAAAATGAGTCTTACTTCAAAATTATTTATAAATTTTGGATACTTTATACCAAACTCTAATTTCTAACACTTAGCATTGAAAATTAGTATATTATTTTTTCAGCATAGATTGCTTTGGAAAATAATTGGTTGAAAAAAAACCAAATTTCTACCTGTGTTCGCTACTCAGAACATTGCGCGCGGGTTTAATGGACTCAAAGAAACTATAGCAAGCATGAAAACTGGTTTGGTATGCGGTTGTGGTAACTGTGATCCTGGAAGAACCAAATAAAATTTAACAAAGATATTGACACAAAGGAGAAAGTGATGGAACTAATCAAATGGAGAACCTTTTACAGGGTGAAAACATACGTACTTATGGCAGACTATGTTTTGAAATGTGGCAAAAGGCACCAAAGGAAGCCATTTCGTCGTTATGCAATGAAATTAACAAGATCTCTCGAACGGGGCACGAAAAACATACAGCGTATGCTTGTAAAATTTGTTTGGTGGAGCATGAGATATAAGTGCTAACCTTATTGTATAATGATCCTCACATATCGCATATATATTACACATATTAATGATCCACACATATCACAAAGACACAAACTAAAGGTTCCAAAAAGGATGGTGCAAAGGAGTCTCACAATGGAAGATTCAAGAGTGGCCTTGAGATATCCTTAGCTTCTAAAACCGCGAAAAGAAGGTCTTGTCAATTGTGTAGTGAGCACGGACGTAACAGCTGCAGCTGCAAGCGAAAGATAGACCATTAATTTAGGTTTAGTTTGAAAGAGTTAGTCTATAACTGCAGCTTTTAGTTTTTTAGTTTTTTAATATTTTAAAAATATATAAAATATAAATATATTTAATATTTATTTTGATTAATATTTTATATATTTTTAAAATAATAAAAAAACATAAAAACTAAAAGTTAAAACACTGAGAAGCATTGTCAAATGAAACTTTAATAGATTTATAACTTTAATATCTCAACATATTTTATTCATTTTCCATTTTTGTTGAAATGTTTATTGAATGAATTTCAGGAGGCTATGGACATGTATATGTACAATTTGGTTGGCTTTGGATTTTGTGGGTGTTCCTCCAGGTGTTTAGTGAGCTTGAAGGGTGGTTTTTTCTTCTTCTTCTCCTTCTTCATTTTTTCTTTTTTATTTTTATTTTTATTTTTATTTATTTTTTATGGAAAGTGAGCTCGAAGTTCATAATACTGAAAGTGCAATCCCACTGCACTATTTTGTATCTCCTAATTTATGAAGCAATCTCATGAAGCAAATATCTTATCATTGTGTTTGACATTGGTAGCTGTATATGTTTTTGTGATTTCCCATTCTTCTTCTTGTTATTGAATTTTATCATTTCCCACTCAAGGAGTTTTGTGAGCTCCTTATATGAAAAATAATATAAATATAGAAATATTTCAACCCAGAAAATTAGTGTTGGTTTTGTGAGATATTCTCTTCTCCTGGTTTCTTCTTGAATGCATGCACAAAGCACCAAAATATAATAAACAACAACGAGAAAAAAAAGTGCAGAAGAAAGTAGAAGGTATAATGTAAGATCAAATAAATTGTAGTACCGGAAGGAAAGAGATATAATAAAATAAATACAAATGTGGAAAATAGAAAAAAGAAAAAATAAATAAAGGTAGAAAATGTCTAAAAAAAGAGATAAAAGATAAATAGATCCTAAAACACTCATGGTGGAGGATTGAATGGCTAGAATTGGGCAAAACCCTTAAATCCACTCTCAAAAAATATCGGTAGGGACACATTCACTTCTAAAAAAAAATAGGTACAAATTGCCCCTCTAAATCATAAATCAATACAAATCGCCTCTTTTTTAACAGAAAACGTTAGAATTCTGTTTGACACGTCAGCATTTTTTAACGGAAAAAGTTGAAAAAGGGGTGCTTTGTATTGATTTATGATTTGAAGGGACAATTTGTCCTTGTTTTTTTTTTTAGGGATGGATGTGTCCCTATCAATATTTTTTTAGGGTAGATTTGAGGGTTCTGCCCTGGAATTGTATGTAAGAGTTGAATATAAAAAAGGTGTAAACAGATCCCCTCTATAAGGCTTATTTTAGAAATGATTAATTAAAGATAAGTATAAAATTTTTTATTAATTAATTACTAATTTTTTATTTTA